CTCACTCTCCCTCCTCCCTCCTCTCTCTCTCTCTAGGTATAGCCTTCTGACCCTGACTTATGTGATCAGTTAGTTTTCTAAACCTGACTTTTATAATCAATTTAGGTTCGATTTAATATTATAACTGTTTTGTTTGTTTGGCTCCCCTATGATTATTACATGGCAATACATAACATTCATGGTTAATCTGGTTGCTTCCCTCTCTGCCCTGCCCTCCCCTGCATCGTGGGTGTTTTTTGGCTCTCTCATTTGCTCTGCAGCAACGCTCCTCATACCTAAGCTAAAGATCCCTGCAGCACTCAAAAATCCTGTGGGGTTTGCTCATCAAGTGGGTTACTAGCAGAACAAGTGACGTTTTTACCCACTAAAGCTTATGCCCAAATAAATCTGTTAGTCTTTAAGGTGCCATCAGACTCCTTGTTGTTTTTGTAACATGAAAGTGGGGATAGGCACGTGCTGAACCTGGGACATATGAGGGTGGTAGCTTGAAAGTGCTGCTCAACCCAGTCTGCTGAGTTCAGGGACATATAAGGGGTCAACTTGGGAGTGCTGATTAACCCGGTACTCTCAGGTGTGTGTGTGTGTGTGTGTGTGTGTGTGTGTGTGTGTGTGTGTGTGTGTGTGTGTGTGTGTGTGTGTGTGTGTGTGTGTGTGTGTGTGTGTGAGTAGAGAGAGAGAGAGAGAGAGAGAGAGAGAGAGAGAGAGAGAGAGAGAGATTCTGGGGCTGGAAGAACCCAGCCCTGGTGAACTTAGGTCCCGCAAGATAGCTCCATTGGGAGGGAACTTGCAGAAGTAGAGCTCCATATGAGAACACAAGTGACACAGGCAGTACATTGATAGAATTACGAAGCCCAACCCAGAAGAGTAACTATAATAAATGAGTATACCCCAAAGTAACGGGCAAATCTGGTAGCACTTTTTGTTCTGCATAAGGCTCTGTTGTACAAACCGACATTTCCTACTGAATTTCAACATACATACTACATGCTGCTATTTTACTAAGGTTACACCTGACAAAGATGAAGGCCAAATACCTTGCCGAATTTGGTTGTCCGCCCTCAGAAGTTCTGGAAAATTTCTAGATCTTTAGGGGCTACAGGAGGGGTTTTGTTCCAGTCATCTTCAGGATAAGCTTCAAAATTAGATGTATCTCCATCATTGGATACCTTCGGCACTATTGGAGGCTGATGAGAAATAAACAATACAAAAATGAAATAGATGTTTCATACCACAATAATTATCTCAATTAGTTATTCATAATCATCTTTTTGAACACATACTGTAGTAGTGCCTAGAGGCTAATCAGGTTGGTGCCCACATTGTAAATGTTGTACAAACAGCAAGTGACAGTCCCTGCTCAAAGGGCTTGCAGTCTAAAATACCAGACAACAGGAGGAAAAGAGAAAAATGTGAGGGATGAGGGGAACAGGATAACAAAATAAGATTGGCTAAGAATTACATAATCAGGGACACTATTTACAACTGCCACCTGCATTCTGTTATCAGGGTACAATTTACTCAATGCATTATGGAACAAGTGATTTGTGAGTAGAGAATTGAAGGGTAAGATTTATGGATTTAACTAGGAGTTTTTCTCCCATTCATGAAGAGTTGGGATAGGAGTGGCTGAGGGAGAAGCAAGTGCTCTAGGTTGCTATATCACTGGTAGAAGGAAGGTAGGAATCAATGGCTCAACAACCTAGTAGTCCTAATAGGTCCAGGCTAAATGCTGAAGGACCTTAAAGATGAAGACCAGAAGTTTGTCAAGGACAAAGGGACAGACGTGAGGGTGGAGGGGGGCTGATGTGGTCTGTGCAATGAGACAGGAAGAGGTTCCTGACAGCAGTACTTTGAATGATTTTAGAGGGGCATTCATATTTTCAGATATGATGGCTCTATTAAGAGAGAATAAATTTTCTGTGATTTAATTTTGATAGAAGGATGAGCAAAGCTAAGAAAAATGCTCTGGAATAATGTTGACTCTAAATTAAACCCAAGAGAGTACAAAGATTACATAAAGGCTTAAGCTCCATCCGTAACTCATCTGTTTTCTCCTAGAGATTTGATCACCATCAATAGTCATATCTTAACTCTCTCTAAGGGTCAATGGGCATCTTAGCACTGACTCTATACCGGGCAATATCCATAAATAAAGTAGGGCCAATTATTACATATGGCAAAAGGCTTGCTCCTGTGGTGGTATTCCTTAACATTAATGGGGTAACAGGGAAGGAAAAGCAGGAGACAAAAAGAAATGAACAAACATCATGAGAGAAAGGACAAGGTAAAGAAAGTAGTAAGAAAGGATAAAAACAAATAAATACTCTCCTGCACTCCTCTTAAAATAATTAGGAAAAAGGGGAGATGATTTTATAATCATTTGTAGGCATGCTCAAGGCTTCTCAATTGTTGCACAGTGCTTACATACTATGGTGAAGGGCACCTTAGTAATACAGTAAAGAGATTAAATTGTAACAGAACATTCTTGGAAGCTTTGACTAATTGCTTAGTGACTAACATTTCAGAGAGTTAAATATAATATGACCTTTTCGTGCCGAGTATCAAGAAGTGATTTGGTCACATTAAATATTAATGTATTTTTAATATGTCCTTGCCATGATGACATCAGCAGGTCCTTTTGCTGGCAACAAATGTGTTTCTTTCCAACCACTCCTCAAGAGAGATTTGCATAATTTTTTTTTTGGCTTAGAAAACACCCCAAACCTATCAAACTGATTGCTTGTAAGTGCATTCAAATGTTTCACTCAGATACTTCATGTCATTCGTATCCTATGTTTTTTCTAGTCTGGCAATAAACCCATGCAGGAGAAAAGCTTTCAGCACTTCAAATTACAGCAGTTCGAATTACTTTTTATTTTAAGAAAAAGTAGCCACATCATAAAATGCTGATTTTACAATGTTTTATTAATAAAAGTATTTATTTCATCCCAGTAGAACTTTTAAAGCAAATGTGGAGATTTTGTGAGGAACCATCTGTTCTTAGCGTCCCCTGAAGGTCCTCTGAATTTCTAATACTGGCCTGGGGATCCCCAGTCTCCATAACCTTCCCAGTCTTACATCTAGCACTTAATCACCAGCCTACTCTCCTTCTGGGCCTGAAGTACAGAATGGGGTGCCCTTTATCTCTCTCTTTCAGATAGGGTTTTTGTACAGCAAACAGATGTTGCCTTCTCTCACACAACCCCCATCCCCTACTACTTAGGGAGCAAATTTAGCATTGTGAATCAAACCTGCATCTTCTGCTTGGCATTGCAAAGGCACTGGATTATCAAACCGCCTAATATAAAGCTTTATTCATATAATTTGTTATAAGCCATTAACAGATCAGAACATTACTATTAATTCTTCAGGAAAAGTTATGAAAACATTCTGAAATTAAGATTATTCCTGTTAGATATGGGATATAGATGGTTTTCCTTAGTTATTTCAGTGTTACATCCAAAGTCATGTGATCAATATGGAATTGGGGGAAAAAAACGGTGGTACTCATATAAGTAAGGCTTCGCTTTAGTCACGGGTATTTTTATTATTCATAGACAGGTCACGGGCAGGGTGACCAGGTGTCAGGTTTTCAACTGGAACATTGAGTCAAAAAGGGATCCTGGCAGCTTCGGTCAGCACTGCTGATCGCGCCATTGACTGTCCGTGTGGTGGCACTGCGAGGTGGGGCTGGCAGGCTCTCTGCTAGCCTCCGCACCATGCAGCTGGTAAGTCCCCTCTCCGGCTCCTACACATAAGGGCAGCCAGGTGGCACTGCATACTGCCCCCGCCCCAAGGCCACCCCCACAGCTCCCATTGGTTGGAAACTGTGGCCAATGGGAGCGGAGGGGGTGGTGCCTGCAGACAGGGCAGCACGCAGAGCCACCTGGCTGCACCTCCTCATAGGAGCCAGAGGGGTGTGTGTTGAGTTCGGTCACAGAGAGCCCCTTGGGACTGTCACCTGACATGCTGAATTGGCCTCTGAGCCTGTTTTCCCTGCCAGGTTGGGACTCCAGAAGCCTGCCTTGCTGAGCCAGACATGCTAGCCAGCTGAAAACACACACCCAGGTCTGGTCCACACCCCCAAAGCTGCAGACTAACTGAAAACAGCTCAGCAAGTACTTCTGTCTCCAGCACTCAGACACCCAGTTCCCAATGAGATCCAAACCCCAAATAAATCTGTTTTACTCTGTATAAAGCTATTACAGGGTAAACTAATAAATTGTCCACCCTCTATAACACTGATAGAGAGATATGCACAGCTGTTTGCTCCCCCCCAGTATTAATCACTTACTTTGGGTTAATTAATAAACAAAAATGATTTTATTAAGTATAAAAAGTAGGATTTAAGGGCTTTCAAGTAATAACAGACAGAACAAAATAAGTTACCAAGCAAAATAAAACAAAACACAGAAGTCTAAGCCTAATACATTAAGAAACTCATTACAGATAAATCTCACCCTCAGAGATGTTCCAATAAGCTTCTTTTACAGACTAGACTTCTTCCTAGTCTGGGCCCAATTCTTTCCCCTGGTACAATCCTTGCTAATTCCAGCTCAGGCGGTAACTAGCGGATTTCTCATGACTGGCAGCCCTCTTTGTTCTGTTCCACCCCTTTTATAGCTTTGGCACAAGGTGGAAATCCTTTGTCTCTCTGGGTCCCCACCCCTCCTTCTAAATGGCAAAGCACCAGGTTTAAAATGGATTCCAGTTCAGGGGACAGGGTCACATGTCACTGTAAGACTTCATTACCCACTCGCTGGCACACAGGTATAGGCTTACAAGTAAACAGAGCCATCTACAACCAATTGTCCTAGTTAATGGGAGCCATCAAGATTCCAAACCACCATTAATGGCCCACACTTTGCATAAATACAATAGGACCTCAGAGTTATATTTCATATTTCTAGTTTTAGATACAAGAATGATACATTCATACAACTAGGATGACCACACTTCGTAGATTATAAGCTTTGTAATGATACCTTACAAGAGATCTTTTGCATAAAGCATATTCCAGTTGCATCATATCAACACTTATAAACCTATTTTTATAAAGTATATGGAGTGCAACGTCACAGTGGGACATGCTGCTGCTTCCGGAACCCGAATCAGCCTGAACCCCTCACCCCGTCCTGTGCCCCAACCCCTCTGGCCCAGCTCTGATCCCCCCTACCACCCTCCAACCCCTCAAGTCCCAGCCTGGCGCACCCTCCTGCTCCCCAAACCCCTCATCCCCAGCCACACATCAAACGCCCAACCCCCCCCCACCCCCAGAGCCTGTACCTCCTCCTACACCCCAACCCCCCTGCCTCAGCCCAGAGCCCCTCCCATATGCCGAGCCCCTCGGCTCCACCGCCCCAGCCCTGAACTTCCTCCTGCACCCCAAACCCCTCATCCCATGCCCCACCCCAGAGCCCGCACCCCCAGTTGGAGCCTTCACCCTGAGCGAGTGAGTGAGGGTGGGGAGAGCAAGCAACAGAGGAAGGGGAATGGAGTGCGTAGGGTGGGGGCCTCAGAGAAGTGGCAGGGCATGGGCAGGGCCTTGAAGATGGGGCGGGGCAAGGGTGTTCAGTTTTGTGCAAGTAGAAAGCTGGCAACCCTAGTCATGGGCAGTAAACAAAAATTCACGGCCCGTGACCTGTCCATGACTTTTACTATATACCCCTGAGAAAAACCTGGGGGGCGGGGAGGAGCCAAATGTTCTAAAGCAGAGAATTTGAAAAATATGAGATGAATGCATATGGATAAAACATCTGAAGTTAAGCTTTAAGGGTTCTAACATAGAACAGCCACATATGGTTTCTCTTTAAACAAGATCTACATGAAACAGAGCAAAACATTGATAATCTCTTTGCTCTAAAGAAGTTTCAATGATTCCATTCAAAAATTCTATCTAGAAGTTTACTGCTTCACATACATACATACATAAGCAAGCAGAAATGTATCTGAGTAGCACTTGACTGACATTATGTGGTGGAATAAATCACATTACTAATAATTAAGTGGAATTGTACCACCTGGAACTTTTTTCTTTTTTAAAAGGGAAAGGAAGAAGTTTCACCTGCAAAATAACTTAAATTAGCATCTTCAAATATTGGTATCTTTTACATACATTTGCTCCTCTATACTGGCTGAATTTAGTGCTGCTGTATCTGTTAGAATTTCAATACATTAATTTTCCCCCTAGATGCTTTAAATTTTATTTAAAGATTTCTCTGCACTGAAACTTAGCAGCGAGACTCAAACCCAGAATAAAATACATCTCTACCCTGATATAACGCTGTCCTCGGGCGCCAAAAAAAAAAAAATCTTACTGCATTATAGATGAAACCGCGTTATATTGAACTTGCTTTGATCCGCTGGAGTGCACAGCCTCGCCCGCACCCAGAATGCTGCTTTACCGCGTTATATCCGAATTCATGTTATATCAGGTCGCGTTATATCGGGGTAGAGGTGTATTTCTAATTATTTTTGAAAAACAGCTATTAACTAGTTCTTGTGAAATGAGACATATGTATGTAATACAGGATATAATTTTCTGATTATTTAAGGGATTTTGTAATGTAAACCCACACCAACTTGGCAGATGTTAAATATGGACTAGTGAAAAGCATATCTTTTTAAAGAATCAATATGCATCATATGACTATATATTTCAAATTATTCTGTAATAGATCTTAACTGAATACACATGCAACATTATACACCTATATAGTATCAGAAGAAATTTTGGATGGATGATTTTTGATTACCATAGCCTACATATGATTTTTGTACAAAATACCTTTAGTTTTCTTTGAGGTACAGCATCCCAGTCTATAGACCTGAACCACCGATGCCTTTTCACATCATCTGCTCCATTCTTTAAATAAAACCAAAAAACAAACAAAAAATTATAAGATAATGCGTATGCCATAAAACCTTAACCTATGTATTTCATTATAGCTGTTCTCCCGCCCCCCTCAAGTTCAAACTTTTTAATATAAAATTCACAGAAGCCCAGAAGTCATCCATAACCCTATAATATGAAGGAAAATATGAAAAACATTTCAAAGCTTTCACAAGGGCATTAAATAACCAGTGAGCATAAAAAATTAGATACTACACAAATTCACTCATTTATAATATAAGCAGCTATTTTATTTCTGAAAAGCTTTTAACTCTAGTTATACATCTTGGACAAGATTTCTCAGTAGCATGAAGGGCCAGTGCAAAACCCTGTGGACCACATAAGCCCCCACCTTGGGCTGCAAAGGAGGCCGGTGAGGAATAGATGGAGTGGTGTCTGTACCCACAGAAAGGGTCCTGGCCTGACTCCGCATAGGGTATTAAGGTAGTCCAGAAAAGGGAAGAGGGGATCTGCATTGACACAGATCCAGTGGCACCCAAGATCTCATACACGTTGTACAAGGACATGAGAGAGTGTGGAGCATCCCCATACCCAGGTTTGGGTTGAGGGGGTATATTCTCTCTAATATCTTCTCCCTCCTGGCACTTTACCACTTGTAAAAGGTGAACAGAGAAAAGTAAAGTAATGCTGAACT